AAACATTATACTGGGCAAGTAAAAATTGTTTCTGGGCAAATGAAATGTGAAAGTCACTTGCCCTAGGGATTTAAAGTCTGATGTCCGGCCACGCCCACAAATGTGGTTTCAAAATGCTACACCTCCATGGTTTGCTTCCAAGAGGGACTATAGGGGGTGATGTGGAGGTGTTTGGATTTAGGACCGTTTAAAGACAGACATTCTCACCAGGTCTAAGTGTTTGAACTTTTTCCAAACCTTTTCAGTTTGTTCAGCCCTCGAAAAAGGGTTAAGGGAATAAAAAATAAAACAAGACATATTTTTAAAGGGTTTTGCATTAAGTTTGGTGGTTGAGGCAAATGAACAGATATTAAAGTATTTCTGAAAGCTCAGGTTTGAAAATGGGGAAAAAAAGGAAAGGAAGATGGAAAGTTTGATTCATTATGGCTTACAGGTGATTAGAAATTGGTGTTAAGTTTGTTTTTCTTTAGTTCTAGCTCAACTTTAAACCAACTCTAGCATAAAAAACACAGACAGGCTTTTTCTTTCTCCCAAGAATCAGTATGCTTGGAAAATCCCTGCGGTGACCCCTGCTACTATCTTATCTTCATCTATGAGGACAAAAGTCCTTCAACAAATACATTCGTCTTTTTTCTGACCAGAACCGGAACATGTTGCAGGAATTCTTTAAAAGATCAGCTTATCAGGTGCACCATTCAGAAACATCAGACAAGTTTACCTTCGCTTTTCCCGGCTTTCTGTTCAGATCGCACTGAAACAAACCGCTTCTTGTTCCTCAGTCTGAGCTTTCAGTCAGATAATCAACAGATCTCTGAAATTAAATGGCTTGTTGTTTGGAAACACAAGCTTACTCACAGGTTAAAAAAACAAATATAAAAACAGGGAAAACTGTAAAATCTACAGGCAGAAGAAGTGTTAGTTGGAGTGATCTCACACTGATAATGGAATAAATTTAGCCAAAAAATGGATGATTTCTTTGAAAGAAAAATAAGGAGAAACATTTCTAATTTGGGAGGATCATAACATTTGCATAAGCTCTTTAACTATGCATTTTGATTTGTGAGGCTCTGATCTATGATGTTTCATGTTTCATTTAGTGAGAAGTAATTAATCTCATCAAAAGATGAAATACTTTAAGGCAAATTTGAATGTTAAGGAATTAGATGAAGTACAGCAATATTAGGATTTATGTAAAAACTACAAACTACATGTCAAAACAAGTATAACACTGATGGTATTGTTTTCTCAACAAACTAGCTCTGTTGGCTAACGAGAATGGATATCAGGGATTCCACGCCAAGCAACACTGACTTACTTCCTGCTACAGGACCAGGAAATAAGGTTAACTATGCTTCCAGGTCACATTAAGACGCTTCGACTAGACTACATTTTATTATCAGTAAAAAAACAACAACAACCGACTGAACACAATAGGCCTGCAATGATCACTGCATGAAAAGTGTGATTTTCGTCACTATGCGGCACTGTAGTGGAAGTTCAGGTTAACGGCTGTTTAATATGTCTGATTAACGGCTGTTTACTGTAATTTGCAGGCAACACCGAAAACTCCCATAAATTGTCGATTGAATTGATCCATCAATTATATACCATATTTAATAAGTGGAAAAAAACAACTTGGACTTGAACTGTGACAGTAAATGTTCTTGTTTTTTTTATGCATTTAAATTTCAAAAATCCTCTAATCTAATCTCAATTTTTTAAATATGCCTTCAAAGGGGTTTAATGAAAAATTCAGCTCTAAATCCAGATGTCTGGTGCTTCTTATATACGAACGGATGAGTTCAAATATGTATCTAGTTTCATCAAAGCAGTGTTAATGAACTCTGCTTGTTTCATTTAGGTTGTTAAAGTTGCAGACTACTGCAGCTGCAGTGCGATGTTTGGTATTTTAAAAGTCCCACACCTCCAGATGATCCAGAACTTAGAGGTGTTGAAGTTCCTTTTGAGCCTTTCTGGTGGTTTAAATGAAAACATCTGGAATAATTGGCATTATTAGACTTTTATCATAAAAAAAATCATCTAAGAAATACTATCCTTTGCAATACTTATCTAGATCTGCCAATGACACCTCCAGAGACCATGTCCCTCTAAACCCAGAGTCTCAAACTCCCGTCCTTAGCATCTGGTGGCCTGCAATCTACAGATGCATTGCTGCTTGTACCTAAAAGTTACAGTCAAGTAGAGAGAGTTGGAGATCCCTGCTCTAAAACTTTTTTTGGTGACCCATATTTCCTGTATATCTGAGTTGGGAAAAGATAGGCCAATGATTTACAGGGTTTATACAGGAATTAATATTACAATGTAATGCTACTCTCACACCAGACGCAGCAGGCGCGACAGAAGCAGCGAGTTTACATGCAAAGTCAATGGTTGACGTGCGTCAAGGCGCAGCAAAATGTCCCGCAGCGCGTCTGAGCAGCTGAAGCAGCGCGTCGGGAGCTTTTAAGCATCTGACGCGCTGCAAACGCGCATGCTGCTCGAGATGGAAAAATTTTACATTTGCTGCTCGACGCGCCGCGTCAACCAATCAGAGACGCTGATCTGGGAGCTGGCAGCGAGACAGACACATCGCCATTGATGCAGAGCGCTGTGATCACTCCTCTGAAACAGTTTATTAACGGCTAAATTAACTTAAAGTGCAGAAATCTGCCGACAGAACATGTTGGCTTTTATTATCCTGCTGCCTGCAGTTTAGATTATTTAGATGAAAACCACCTACCAGCTGCCGCGATGAACCGCGAGGAGGCGACCTGGCCAGAGGCTGCTGTTGAATGGGATTCCTACTGACAACGCACCGCCGGTATGTGGGGGTCTGAGCGGCTCCGACAGAAATAATATTGGAAGGCAGGATGATAATCTGGATGAACTGACTGCAATGATTAAGTTTTCAGGTGTATTTTCTCACTTTAAAACATATTTAAACTACTTTATTCCCACCGATCACAGCAAATATAGCTGCAAGTCAAAGAAAGGATAGAGTAGACCCTCTTTTGCAACGCGCAGCCAGAGCAGCAAAGGTGCTTCAGTCGCGCGTCAGAACTAACTGGTACAAGCAGCAAAGATGAAGCAGCAGACGGGATTTTGCTGCTCCTGCTGCATCCGGTGTGAACGTAGCGTTTTAATGCTCTTAGAAATAATTTTAATGCCA